CAACTCAATCATCAGCCCTACGAGGGCACCGACGAGGTCAAATGTGTCTTTGGCTTCCTTAGAAGAATACACGGTGCACACCAAAGGTGCTCAGTAATTGCTTGGGGTGGGACTCTCCCGTATCAGTGTGTGTCTGGCTTTACAACAGCCGTACAGAGTTCCATGCTGCGGCACTCTCACCCTGGCAAGACTCTATTCAGCTTTTGAGGGTGGGGGGCATGTCATCTGTGTTTTGGGGGAACCCCAACAGCTCCCTGGCCAAACAATCCAATATAACAGGACTACTAAATAAATGCCGTCATTCTCTGTTCAACTCTACCCCAAGAGAAACACAAGCCTATTCATTCACTGGATGAAACAGAAAAAAGGGCTTAAAAAAAGGTTTACTGTAACAGACGCTGCCAAAGCGAAGTATGTATAACCTCTAAGCCCATTCTCAGCCTTCAGAAGAACATGAGAAGTATACAGAATGAGAGCTTTCATGATCAGAAGTATCTTACGATGCCACGGTGAGACGACGTCTAGCCAAGGTGGCAGATTATCTGTGAGCCTGGAAAACGATTCCTATTCGAGGGCGCTTTGTGTTTTAAAGCATTGTTTCATACTCCATCAGAAGCCAGTGGAGAGTAGGCCAACTGATTTTTGTGAGAAATGGATGGCTCCGTGCCTCATTTTACAAAACAGATATGCTCCTCAAAGGTTGTTTATACATGGAATGTTTTCAAACCTATGCATAATTTAGGTAGACTAGGAGAACTCACTACTTAAAGGAATCCTGGGGGTGATTTCAAAAAGCAAAAAACCAAAACAAAACAAAACCTTTTTAGAAAGTGAATAATCACCCAGCAATTTATCTGTTTTTAAATCCAAATTTCCATTTACTGAATCTGCACAGCAGAAGGAAAGAGATCGAAATGACCTACTACAACTGGAGTGTCTTGGCTGCTTCTGTCACTAAGCTTTCCCAGTTCCTAAACTCCTATTTCTTTACACAAGCTGATTTTTCTATCCCCCCCCCCCTTTTTTTTTTTGCTAAGAAAAATAGGGCAGTGGCGCTAGGCACAGCTGTTCGAGGCTTCGGTCTTCCTTCCACCTTACGTCCTAGGTTCTTCTCCCCAGAGGTTTCCAGGTCCTTATCAATCGCGTGATCAGGGCCTAGGCTCGATTCAGATTTGCAACAAATGCCCTCCGAGGTTGTTTTGACCTTTGATGGCCAGGAACAGCGGGACACACTGGGGTCCTCTCCCTCAACACCTGTGTCCCTTCCCCTTACCAGGGCGACTTCCAAACGCATGACACAGTTGGAATTGAAGTGCTCTTTTCCTATTATCTCAGATTATTTCAAAAAGTTTATACTTCTCAATAAGGAGAAATAATTTTTAAATGTGAAAAATGGCCAAAGAATAGGAAATTATCTGAGAAGGGGAAATCATCACACATTAGCTTCCCCAGTGCTGCCCACTCCATCTACCCCAGTGACCCCTATCATGATTGTGTTAACATACTTGAGAGGGAAAGTACCTTTAATACAGGATACGGAGCTCCATTCTCTATATAATTTTATCTGACGACAACTCGCCTAATTCACATTAATACTCTAATATACTTTGGCGCACAATGGCATCAAAATTTAAGAAGCCAATCTGCTATATTATTTTTCTTGAATAATTCTCAAATTAAAACATACAATAAAAATGAACTTCCAAATGATTTAAATATTTCCTTCTTAAACTGCCTCCGCCAAATGAAAATTTGCCATTATTTTTATCATCACTTACAAATAAAAAATGCTTTTTCTTCCAAAGCATTTTATTTTTACTGTTGAATTTAAAATTTATTTCCCGTCAGAAAAAAAAGTTTCCAAATATAGATAGAAAAAAAATTGTTACACTATTTGATGCTGCAAGCCATACACGAATTTGTCACCACCGATGTTACAACAAACCTAGACATCAATAAGGTGTGGGTTTTTTTTTTAAAAACACCACTCAAAAATCAATTATCTCAACTCTTTTGTATAGAGAAGTAAGTAGCACACCTTTCAAGCAACTGGTATTAATGAGCAGACATGACTATAGAATCTCCATCTGTTTTTCTGACAAAGCTGTGGCTACTCCAGCCTCTCATTGAAATTCCATTAATCTACAGCTCCAAGGTCCAATGCGAAAATCAAAACTCCATCTAACCCTTTATCAGCTCACAATAACCTACAAGTGAACTCTGCCTGTTAGCATGCAGCAAGTTATGATTTTGCTATCAATCAGGCTCTCGGCCAATAAAAGAAAGCAGGCTGCAAACGGCCTGTCTGGCAGGGCCAGGAAGGTTGGTTGTTGTTTTCGGCCCTTTCCCGTTTCGGTAGGGTGTCTGGACTTCGTGAGATTATGCATTATCCTCCTTTGCTGTGATTTAATTGCTACTAGCAATCAACTCGAAACATCACTGAAGTGTGCTTGAATTTCATTAGAAGATATAACTTATGCTACTTTCCTACAGTACCTAATAAACCATAAAGAAACCAAAACACATATGGCTTGAGGGAATAACTGGAAAATTAGGTGGCCATTTGGGAACTGAGTGAACTTTTGAACCAGAAGAACAGAGAAAAAGAAATATTAAAGGGAAAGACAGACTCAGAATGCACACAGAGATGTGCAGGTTTGACCTTTCCAGTACCTTGAAAATTACATTAGCATTATGAAAAATACATATCATGCTTAGAGTTTATAATCCATCAAAGTTTAGATACTTTGTGAGTGCCTACCATAAGGTAAAAGTCAAAAGGACAAAACAACCATCGGATTTGACAAAAGGCCTTTAGGTGACCTGTGCTAATTTGGTTATACTGATTGTTAAAAGCATTATCTTTTTAGTAATTAATACATCATTAGGCTGAGGTCACATGATGAAGGAAAATGATTCAGCAAGGAATACAATGCAAATAAAAAAGTAAAGATCCAGAAAAAGGAATGCGTGCAACTAAATGATATTTATAACTGGCAATGAGGAGTCTGAGTGATGGGATTGGTTTGTTGGTTTGTTTTGTTTTGTTTTAATTCAGAAAAATAAAGTCTTAGAAAAAAATTTAACCTTATAAACAATGTTGTTAATACATGTGAAATAAATAAGCCTAAAACTTAAATTTGCAAGCTCCAAATGTTGAAATCCTTTATTCAAATACTCATCAAAATTAGGCAAATATTTTTCAAAAAATAACAAAATGACAGTTTCACATCGCCATGTAGAATCAGGCATCGAATTTTAATGCCTTGTATTTTGAGACTGCATGTATTCCCTATGTACCTCGACCTGGAAACATCCTAAATATTGTAGCTTGATAAACTTATAAGAAAGGAAGAACGTAGTTAATTTGTTTTGTTACTACATGATCATAATTTAATAACTGTTCAGTCTTCCTAAGAAAATTCACTGAATGATTTCTTGGTCATGTGGCTACTTAGCTTGTTGAGGTTCTTTGTTTTTTGTTTTTCAAAGAAGGTCTTGAAATTATCTTCAAAGTCTGCTTTACAAAATTCAAACCATTTTTCCATGGACTATGAATAATTCACATTTATAGTTTCAGACAGAATTATGCTTGCGTGAAAGCAAAAACGTTTTACTTTATGAGCCAAAAAACTGAACTAAGTAAATAAAAAGAATTTCTACTTTTATCTGAAAATAATGTCTTGTCAATTGCAAAAAACCTTCTCTATTAGAAAAGATGCCTTTGAACACTAGGTTATGTAAGTTAATGCTCTGTTTGGATGATAAAGCCGTGGCAGAAGAGAAGGCAGCATCTTTTAAAATAGGGAAGCGAAAACAAAAAAACCAATGTCTTTTTCCTCAAAAAGAGAAACTCGAGGTTTGCCAAAATGTAGAACTCAACATAAAATGAATATGATTATTATTGCTACACATTGTGCAAAGTTCTGAGTATAAAAAAAGATTGTGTTATTCTGAATCAGTGGTTAGAATGTTTATCACTTATGCATGTACTTGACTTATCCCTGTTCTGCAATAGACATAATTTTATACCTCATAAAAGCAATTTATGCTTCCAAAGGGAATAATCTGGATAACATAAAATGTGGAGTGCTCTGTTGCAGGAAGCATATTTTCATTCAGCAATTGTACTTAGAGATGGAACTGCACAGTTTGATCATCATATCATGGCAGAAGGCATAAATCACGCCTATGTCTATATGAAACCTTCAGTGCCACAAATTAATATGCATGGCTAATTTATCGATACACATGCCTAATTTATAGCTATAGATCACCCTTATCAGGTTCTGTAGGGTGGAGAAGTAGCCAACGTGCCTGTTTTCAAAAGAAAAAGCACACACTAAAAAACAAATTTCATAATTCGTGATATTCAATAATGTCCGCAATAGCATGAAAATATGCAAATAATTAACCACTATTGCGGATTAAATACAAAATATCAAAACAACTTTTGTCCTTTTTTTTTTAAGCAACAAATCCAGGGGAAAAAAAAATGTATATAGAAGAAGCACTGAATGAAAGCCTGTCTCGATGTGAGAAGGCACTGTAGGAATAATTAATTTAATATTTTATGAACCCATTTTGCATGAAGTTTGCAGGAAAAATATCAATCAAGCAAACTGTTTCATTATTTATAAAATAAATAATACAGCAAGCCATTAAGAAGCATAATAAAATTAAGCAAGAATCTGATAATATTAAATTAACCAACAACGGGCTACTAAAGATATTCACAAAAATGTTCTGAGACCTCTCAAATGTGCCGAAGAACGATTTCCAAGAAAAGGGGTATTTCAGTTCAACTCCTGCATCGTTGGGATGAGGTCAGTATGCTGCCGGTACCACTAGAGAGAGCTCTTCAGTTCCTTAAAGGTTCTTGGAAAGGTAAGCAAAGCCCCAGCTGGCTGCGGAGGCCCACATCCTCCCTTTCCAACAAGGACATCACCCTAAACATGGCAGCTCCCAAGAAGGGTAATCTGCGAGAAACGGTGACCTACCATCAGAGGGTGCCTCGTCGTCTTTTTCACAGCGGTCGGATGTTTGGGAGAGCGTATCTGGAGGCCCTGGGAAAGGATCATCATATTCTTCTCCATCGTCTATATCAACTATAAAAGAATTAAAGAAAGGCCTTTTACAAGGTGATGATTTAAAATGAGGCTGCTCTGACAAAAGAATCTTGAATTGTGTTAGTGAATATAACAAGCTATGCTTTCAAAATGAGTCAAGGCTCAACCCTATTGAGATTTACATTCAGCTCAACTCAGATCTTTACAGAAAAAAGAAAGTATAACCTGTTTATATCTGTTCTGAAAGATCTTCTCCCTCAAATTATGAAATGTGATTGCAAACATGTACACATGGACACATACACACATACACACATACACACACACACACACAAAATGTGCACAAAAATGCCAGAGAAACCAGACAAGGGATTCAGCCAAACTTTCAAGCTCTAGATACCATTCACCTAACTCAATAACAGGCCATAACAAAATAATGGGGTAAAATAGATCATTTGAAACACTCTGAACATCAAGTTATTATAAGAGCATAGAAGGACATAAGATTATAAAATGGTCCTAGCTGCACTGCAGGCATCATCAACCTTCAGGGAAAATGCTTTTTTAACAACTTACAAAAATAAAACTCAAATAAGCTCGTAACATATGTACCTATCAATCTTTGCTTTCCTTTCAACAATTTAAAATTTTTTTTTCTGGCCCTTGGTTTCCTATTCTTAGTCTCTGCCACAAGCTTCGAAAAAGTAATTTTTATAAACAAATTCATGTTGGCAGTTTCATGTCAGAAGATTTGGACTTCAGTTCATATTGAGTAAAAAGCTATAATGATACACATCATCATACTCAGGCCTACACCACAGGAGGGGCTGGGGGGGAGACACATACAGTTCGGATCAGCCTGCTATGTGAGAGCAGAGGTGCTTGGATCCAAGGAGGGAGCTGGCATAACAGATACAAAAGCATGGCAGGATTCATCCCAAGTCTCACTCTCCCGGGCTACTAGAGCATCACTCTGGATGCTGCCAAAGGAAGGGCTGGGCCTCCCTGCCGTCCTCAGTTCCGAGGCAAGCCAGGCCAAGGAGGGCAGTCTACGCTAGTCTCTATTCATGCCCTGTCACGTTTGCACTACATAATTATTATTTAGAAAGTTCTCTTTCAAGGTTTCCATGCCAAAGTAACTGAAGCTTCAACTTTCATCTTTAATTCCCTGGATGGGGCCGTTCTGCTGGGCATCGATCATCTTGGTCCACAATCTAGCCAAGACCTTAGCAATGGACCCTGGTCGGCCCCTCATCATCACCAGTCACACCACCGCAGGCACAAAGATGTCTCGGCCACCTTCCAGTAGAATTCCAAGGAATAAGGATAATTCTTCATGTTTTTATTTCTGAGGATTTCTCTTTTCAGCAGCTCCAAGCAGCTGACAAACAGTCAGTTTGTAATCCTTATGTAGGATTATTACGAGAATAGGATCATGCTCCTTTCAAACGTATTAACACATGCAGAAATCCATAAAGAAGATGATAAAGGTAAACTTAAAGCACGGAACCACATTTCGTGGAATAGTCACTGGAGAAATAATAATTAATAACAGTAACTGGCACAATTTATAGAGAACTTTAAGACTGGCAGAACACTTTTCAGACATGATCTCATCTGATCCTGACTCTCCTGCCTTGGATTCTAGGTGTCAAAGGGCTCTAGCTCCACAACTCTCTCTTGGAAGACCTCCTCAACTCAGAATTCTCCTGCTGGACAATTCTCAGTCCTCCCACCAGATCACTGCAGTTTTAAAAGGAACTACCTTTACAAAAGATGTTCTAGTCTTTATCTTCCAAATGCTATAAGATTTCTGCACTAAATCAAGGTCAGTAAAAAGTCAAGTCGAATAGGAGATACAGATATGCTTTGGACACATTACCATGACCTTCTCTAAGGAAGAAAATAAACTGAATGCCATTTTGAAAGATTATTCAAAAGAAATTTCCAAAGACAATTCATTTAAGTTTGACATAATAAGAATTGCATGGTGCTTTTCAAAACAATAAAGACATGTATCTGTTGACAGAACTGAAGGTCCTTTCGGTAAGTGCCAACATCTACGCAAGGCTTACCGATTCAAGTCAATCTTAGGTGATCTTTGAGACTGTTCCAAACCACGCTGTCAAGGAGTATTCCTAATTGATACATACGAGGATATATCCTACAGCGAACATGGAGATGTCTAACAGGCTAAAATACGTTTATGCCTGGATGATGTTTTGTAATAACATGTTCCTGCTACAATCAATAAATTGAGTATGAAGTTGAGGCTGAACAGAAAAAAAGCCCAACAGATATTTCTGGCAAATCCAAAGGGCATCTTTTCAAGCAGAGGTTTTCAAATTGCAATGCCATCACAGCCCGAGCTTAGGGAGTACTCTGGAGGTTACAAAGCATTTGATGCGTGCCACCTTATTTTATCCTCACAAACTAAGTCGACTCTGCTAACCAAGGTGAGAAATGCCAAGTTGTTATATTTTATATCAGGAAAAACAATTATACGTCAGTGACCAGACATGTTGATCATTGTGTTTTAAGCTTTGCAGTGTCTATTTAAAGTTGAAACTATCTGTAATTCACTCATTCTATATCATGAAGTTCATTTAAACAGTCTTGTAAAACCACAGGGGATTTCTAAAAAGATTTATATTGAGATTGAAGTAACTTAAGGGCATCATATCAGGTTTGTCTTCACTTTTTAGTTTAGCGGGGATTAACTCAGAGGTCAGTGAGGCAGGAGAACATCTTTTGAGGTGGGAGACGGCAGCCTGTGTTTCCAGCCTGGCTCCCTTACCCCAGTCTCTCTCTGCTTCACGCCTTCCTCCTGGCCAAAAATACAGTCCAAGCCCTGATGGTTCCTTTAAGGTTCACTGGGGCTGCACAGAAGCTTAAGCAGAGGGGTCGCTGTTGAGCAGCGTAAAGCATTCCTTCCCTCCAGGGATTCTCAGTATTTGCAAATATACCTGTAAAGACATACATAAATTAAAAGGAAAATGTTCAACTTGTATTTATGTAATAGGAAACTGAACTCGCCACCAACAATAGGCATCAGGTAAACGTATCCAATACAATTTACGCACATAATTGAAAGCATTACAGCCTAATCAGACATCTAAAAGAAAAGCGTGCTCAAATGAAATGTCTATAGAATCATTAGTCGGCAGCCCTTCTATTACAATCACACATAATGTCAGTGCTGCCTTGAGCCTGGGCCAATGACAACAGCATAAATTTTGCATCTCATTTCTGTGGTCATAAAATTAATGATCAGTTTAAAAATACTTCTTTGTAAAAGTTATTGCACAAAGAAAAGACATGAATGTGTCCCTGTTATGTACTCACAAGGATAATTACGGGGTTGTTGCTCATTAATACTCTTTCTTGTTTCCCTAGAAAACCGTTTGATTTATCCTACAACTTTCAAAAGTTTAATTAACGATACAAAGTTAACTGTCTAAAAGAGACTGATTCCATTCTCTGCTTTCTATAATTTCAGTAGCAACTTGAATATGGTGTTTTGCATTAACCCACAAAAGACTCTTTCTTAGGAAAACAATTTTTAAAGGCATATTATTTGGGGTCAAATCCCTATCATTCATTTTGCTTGATTTTTGTACATTCAAATAGCAACCGAGAAGGGCCCAGATATGCTGGCCAATGTTCTTAACCTATCACAAAATTACATAGATATATCTTTTACCAGTACCTAAAGGATATGGCGGGAAAATAATTTACCCTTTATTTTCTTAAAGTCCAATCCTAATTTTTCTGAAATGAAATATTAACTATAAAATAATAAATGGTCACTATCTCCATTTTACAGTTAATGGGGAAAAAAACAACAACAATGACTTGGAAGAGGTAAAATTACTTGTGTGAGTCACAAATGAGGCTCTGGAGAGCTTAATCTCTCATTCTGCATGTTTGGTTCATTTAGCTGTGTCTCCAAATCCTAAAACACAACTGAACGAGATGGACCCAGGCCTATAACCTGACATCTCTTATGGGGAACTACATGAAGTCGTAAAACTTTGAGGGGCTCTGGTCACCACAAACAGGCTCCCCCTCTCGGTCTCTCTTTTATTAGATGATGGCTTCTTTATAGCAATAAATCCAGACGTCAAAAGGCAATACTAAAGTGAAAGAAAGCCAGAAAAATCGCCATACTGTGTCTGAAGCATTACCTTTGAAACAGACTCCCACCTACCGCCAAGGGGCCCCATCACCTCAGACCCACTTGTGCCATTTGTACGTGGACGAGGGGAAAAAACAACCAGTGCGTCAATTGCTCAGATTTCATCTTGGAGCCAACTTTCAACTTAAAGTCCATTGTGTAGGAGGAGCAGGAGAAAGGAAATAAAGGGCCATTGCTAATTTCCAGGAGCTGCTTAGCTGGTCTCAAGGCCTCAGCCCACAGCGGCCTGAACAAAAAGAGGTTCCTTCTCGGTTCCCATAAAAGCCATTTGTTCTGGCCATTAATAAACTTCAGAAGTAATACCTGGTATGTGACAGGACGTACAGGAGTACAGGCCCACGGGCCTGCCTGACCGAGAGGATGACAGGAGAAAAATGTTTTCTAACTAAACTTTACATATGCTTTTTGTCACCACGTGCTATGGGCCATCACTGTCCTTCGAGGGACCGGGGTATATGCTGCTGTCTAAGGACACAAAGGGAAAGAGATTTTTTAAAAACCAGCTAGTTTGGGAGGTGGAAGTTCTACCCATTTTTAATCAGCTCCCATATATAGGTCATCAAAACCATCACACTTTGAATAATTGTTTATATTAATTGTTTGAAATTTAGGTTTAAGAAAATGTTTTAGAGCAATCCTCTGAGATCCTATCACTTTTTTAATGTGGAAGTGACTCTCATTAGGCAATTTTTCTAGATGAAATCCCACTTAGAAATCAGAATTCTGTCAGTAGAGATAACTCACCTTCTGGCCTTCCATGCTCACAGATAAGCAAGGCAAGGCCTACAGAATATGACAGGCCCAAGGTCACAACTGAAGTGACAGAGCCCAGGCAGAATCAAGGTCTTAGGATTCAAAGATCAATGTTCTCTTACTCTGCTAAACCACTTGGAAAATTTGCTGTTGAACAGAGGCCTCGATCCTAGCCTTTTGGGAAACTAACAGTCACCTCCAGTTGTCTCTTTTGTAAAAACCAGTCTTGTATATGTTCTGTTTAAGTTAGTGAATTAAAGCAAGAATTCTTGTTATATTTCATTAATACAATTTTTTTTTCAAAGTGCAATGCATTTAAGCTGTTTACTATCTTATCTACTAAACCCCTCCTCTACTCAATAACATGCTCTGTCATTCTCAGAGGTCAGAAGTGTTTTAAGAAAGAAAGGGTCTAAAGTCTAAAATAAAAAATTATCCAGTCTAAAAGGGGCAAAAAAAAAAACCTCATAAACTAGTTGATAGAAACAAAGTAAACTAGGAATAATTTCTAGAGGCCTAGATTCAAATCACATAAAAGAAAATAACGTGGAGAATAATTTGGTATTTTTATCCAAAATCTCCGTGCTACCCAAGTTGATGAGGTTCCTCAGAGAGAAGACATGTGGAGGTACAAGTCATGATTTCAGTGCTCTTAAGGAAATGTTAAAAAGGAGAGTTTCAAAGCACTTGTCCCATCCGATTCCTCTCTCCAGCTCCTCAGAGGCCTCTCAGAAACGGTGTTAGCTGCAACAAAGCTATTTTGGGGCCTACTCTGTGGAGACAAGTGCACCTGGGCAGCAGATAATCATCACAGCTACCATTTACACCAAGCTCTAAAGTTTGTAAATCACTTTACAATTATCTCATTTCATCCTCACAAGGTCCCTGGCAGGGAGGTGCTGTGATTATCCCCATTTTATAGATGAAAAGTTGGGAGTCAAGCTCTAGCACTCAGGGCCCCAGGGAATCTGGGAAAGGCACCATCAACACACACAAGTTATTCTCACTTCAGTTTGGAAAGGAAAACTCCTCTTCAGCTTCATGCTTTGACAATCATGTTGATTTATTTGTTTTAGGACTTGTCAATCCTCCCAAAATACAAACTCTTGTACTTTGAAGGGCGTGTATCTGAATACTTTTTTGAGGGTGGGAGTTCTATTTGCTCTAAAAACATTAATAACTAAAGAAATGTTTACATTAGAAATGACCATACTTGAAAATTACACTTTTACCTGAGTACTAGCTATATGGGTGTTTGATAGTAGCTGTTTTTTCAAAAAAGGCTAGGATTAGAATAAGTGCACTCAGCACAGGGGAGGGCTCGAGCAGGCCCTTCATAAATTCTCCGTGCTGGATTGTTGACTACAGCTATCTCTTGTATTGAACTGCTGCTGAAAGGAAAAAAAACACAGAGGCACCCAAAGATTGCTATTATGGCACCATGACCACGGGGGACCAGGGAGACTGCCTCAGGTCTCTTCAAGGTGACCCACCACAGAAGAGCAGAACTCTGCTCTGGGATAAAAGCTGCAGGAGGAGCTGCTCCCCCTCCTCTGTCTGTCTCTCTCTGTCTGTGTCTCTGTCTCTCCTCTCTCCTTCCCTCCCCCCCCATCTTTCTCACACTCACTCAAACATAGTCAGAATTATATCTTCCACAATTACCAGCTCTTAGGCCTGCACCCAAATGTAAACTTAGTCATGAATTAATGGACCCTGCAGCCTGAAGGCCACAGGTTCCCTACCCCTGAACTACAGGGTTTGGGGGAAACTGTTTTCAAATTGCTTCTAGTTTAGAAATGGAAGCCCACTGGTTCACCCTTCCTTAGGCTTTCCCAGTGTCTCAATGGTGGATCCCTCATGCTGACCTCTCACGTTGCTTTTTAATAGGCATCATTAGGAATGAGCTAACCCAACAGAACATCGTATAGTAGCGTGCTCTATAAATAGCTTTGCAGAGGAAAATAGTTTGATCTTTTTTCTCAATTTCTCAATTTCTACCAAATAAATTTCTGTTCTCTTTAAAGACTGAGCAGATCCCTCTCAGGAATGCAATTTTAATATCGACCTGATGTTAACAGGTCCAAAAAGAGAACACAAAAGGGGAAAGTTCCCAAATCACTGATATTGAATCATTTGCAATTAACAGCATGATTTCATACTGTCATGCCTGCTTAACTTACATGTTTTCACTTCTTCAATGTGTGTGTATTCGGTTACAATAAAAGAGTTCAATTTAGTTGAGTAATAAACTGAAAGCATTTCTGGACCAAAAGTCATGTGCATCTTTCTATTCATCTCGTCTAAGGGGAAGGGGGGAGAGGAATATGCCGCCTCTATAGTCCATTACACTAACATTACCCCTAAATAAATAAATAAAAAGTTTTATAAAAGGGGAGGCAGTTAAAATTCATAAATTAGTTTAATATTGAACTAATTAAGCTATAGTACCATGAATATATTTTACTTGAAGAGAAAGTGATTGGGACTCACTATAGAGTGAAGGCAGAGATTTAGGAAAAACAAAAATAAGGGTTCATTTAAGAGAGAATTCCTCAATTATTAAAAAAGAAAGAAAGAAAGAAAGAAAGAAAATGTTACCTCTGGCCCTCAAATCCTGGGATGCCAAACATACTTCTTTCAGTACTTTAAAATGAGCAGGGTCTGTAGTTTCATTTCACCGGTTTGATTTTATCTATAAGTTACATCTATAAGTGCTCAGTTTATTCAGACTGGCAGTGCCCTCTTACTCTCAGATGGCACGGACATGAATCTGGCTGTGGCATCTGCTGGCCGGAGCTAAAAGGCACCAAGCTATCCCCCCCAACCCCACCAGATCCCCAGTCCAGTTTCACATAGGCTGTGCTGACCTCAAACTGTGACCCTCATACCAGCATCCACAGGCTGCGGGTCATGACCTCGTGAATTTGCATCATGGAAATAAGGGCCACTGCAGGTCTGGTTACAGAACGCGAGGCTGCAGCGAGGGAGGAGCGGCGGTGAAGTCTCTGCTTCTCAAATCTGCTGTTAGCTCAGCTCCGGTTCTGTCTCGGTTCTAATAGAAAACCTGACATGGGCAATCTAATCCAGGTTTTGTTTCAAGTAACATGAAATTCACATAGGGTTGCAATCCCTTTCTGAAATCTGAAAATGTCCGTTACGTGCATTTATCCATATTTTTTAAAAAATCCAATTTTTCACAGCTTTTAAATTATTCTATCGAAAGTGGCCATTCAAAATAATTTCTTAATAAAAAAGTATTTAAAATATTGAATTGCAATTACCAGAATATAAACATTCCTTTAAGCATCCAACTAAATAAACTTGTCTTCTCTCTTTCAAATTGTCCATTGAGTTTTAAGGAGCATTGGGGCGTTTTTTAATTTCCATTTTATTTTCAATGTGTAGCATCGCTAGATTACCTTTCCTACCGCATTTCTCCTGTAATACGCTTTGAGTAACATAAGCCTTAAAAATGTTATTGAATCGCTCTCGTGTCTCTGTAGAACAGCTGTGCCCAAAGTAAATCCTGGAGACGAGGTTTTTAATTTTTTTTCTCAGCAGGGGGAGCTAACACCCTCGTCCTGGAAGGTCTGTCAACGCACAAAATGAAAATTCAAATTCTGACTCAAACTATTAAACATCAATATTTAACTTGATCAAAGAGAGAAAGGCAACAGAGAAACAGGGTTTAAAACTTTCAACAAAGGAAGCAATCTATTTAAAATGTACCTTTGTCTTGGAAGTCTTGAGGATAGCTGCAAAACAAAAACAAAAAACATTACGTTTGAAACCGAAGACGGATCAAAAGAAGGCTTCAATAACTAACTCATCAGGGCCAACTGCTCGGTTCTCATTTTTTTTCAAATGGTTTCACGAATTCACACTGCTTTATTTCCTTAATGTTCTTATCTGGAGTGACTAAATTCACCCAACATTTGTAAAGTTACAGGATAGAGATTCATCAACAGAATTGAACAAAATTGCAGCTGTTTCTCTTTAAGAGCTACAAATACTGCTTTTAAAAGAAAATCCTCGGACACACTTTCACTTGGGGCTACATATATAACAATTTCGAGCCTTCAGAATGATAAGACACTCTCCAATGTTGAAAAGAATGACACTGGGCGTCCTGAAGGCTCAATTTGTTCTACAGGCACCATGCCATCATCAGATTGCAACAATGCTTAAACAGCAATACCCACATTTTGCTAACACCATCTCATTTTCATGATATACAATCAAGAATCTATCTGAGAGGCTACTTTTTGACAAGCATAAACAAATCTCTTTATTTCCACTTCGAGTATTATTACCACTGGATTTTTTTTCTCCTAAATACTTAATACCAATTAAATGAGAACATAATTTTAATACACAGTAATCAAATTTCTTATTAAAATGATAATTACAAAGTTGTTTATAAGGGAGAAAGTATTAATAAAAGTCAAGTGACTTACGCAGACTTTACATCTTTTATCTTCTTAATAAGGGATTCTCTCTTTTCCTTTGCTTTCTTGGATAAATTTTCCCCTCTGAGTGTTTCTGCTACAAATGTCTCAAGATCTAAACCAGACAATAAAAGAAAAAAGATACAAATTATAAGAGCAGATCATTTTCTGAAGCTCAGGACACTGGACCGTTCCTCCCTCTAAGTGTTAATATCGGTACCATTTGTTAATGTTATTTTTCAATTCCAAGCATTAACAGCTGAAATATGTTTCAAATACCAAGTTGGACAAATGTGCTTTCCACTTAGCTACCACAATTTGTCTACTCCGCTTATGCTTAGAACAGCAAAGACTGTTAGGGTGCTGAATATCATTAAGCTCGGAAGAAACATACAAGTTTTAATAAACTAAGATACTCCATAAAATAGATGCTCTGGTTTAATGCATACTTATAAAATCAAGTAAAGAGCTTTTATGCCTGTTAGAGGGATTGTATAAGTTCCTGTGTGCCCAAGGTATTCATAATGTCCTATAAACAAACATCAGACAGCTCCCCGCCCTCGCCCCCAACCCAATTTCAGGTGCACACTATGCTTTAATGTTTGGGGTTTTTTAAGTGATGACATTCCCTTTATCCCTATCGAAAACAGGCCTCCGTTTTTCCTGCTGAGATTTCTAAGCGAACTCCCTTCCACCTCACCCTTCAAATCAGTGTCACTCAAGATTTGTGTGAGCCTACCACTTTATTCAAAAGGAGAAAGGAAGCACAAATAGGCTATTCCATTATTGAAAAATAGAGTGAATGAGGAGTTAGGCATTTGTAATTTCAAATACCTCTCTACATTGCCTCATTCTCTTAGGGGGAAAAAAAACCTCAATAAATTTCAAGGCTATTTTGGCATTTAGTTCTCTATCAGAGGGACTTTAACCTCGGCTTTTATTCTGCTCTTTATGACACCTCCATTATTTTTTGAGCAGCCCAGATATCACTGTACTGCCATTTACAAAAACTTATATTAATACTGTTTTCGGAATTTCAAGGTGCCCTGGGAGATCATAATTGCAAACATACTCCTGTGTCATAAAATCAAGGTTGGAACTCACTGAACTAATCCTTAATGTGAGTAGCAGGTGTCCAGCCATCTTTATACTCTCTTCACAACACTTCCCTTTGAAAAGATAGCCTGGTGAAGTTTACTGTTATCCTGATTCCCACTGATGAGAAGGTCTTCTCAAAACAGTATTGATATTATGTCTAGTCAAAAAGATTCAAGCCTCCCAAGCTCACATATGCCAAAGATGTGAGTCTGATTTCCAGTTCAAATCATAATTTTCAATTCCTGATTTCAATAAGCATCTTGAACAAATGAAAAAATAATTACACTTTCTGGAAAGTTGGTGAAGGAGATCCTATCATAACACCAAGTTACAATTAAAAGAATAAAACTAGATCTTCTAATTCATAAAAAAAAATTCCTTTGCTTGAAGTCCATCAGTTATCTGAGACAAGGTTAAAAAATGTCAAAGTGTATAAATATCAAAACGGAATGAAACACAAAAAAGGCAAGAAGGCTTTGTCCCACGGACCGTGCATATTGGAGGGACGGAAGATATTCTGAACTTGATCAGTACAGACCACAGCATTTATTTTGCCTGCAGAAAGCAGACATAGAAATTCTAAATTGAGACCAAAGGAACTTTGAGAAACAGGTTTCATTTTTTTTTTTTTCCAAAACCCACCCACTCGCCTCTCTTCACTCACTAGGCTGGCTAAATTTTACACTCGGAGTCCATGCAACCTCTAAGCATTTAAATAATGACTTGCATTAAAAACCCTCCAAGATCCCCCCAATTGCTCTAGCAATGCGAAGATCTCTTGGAGAAACAGAAAAGTCAACTTTTCGTTTCTTTTCTATTCTTCCCTTACACAGCTGCACGAGAAAAGGACGAGCTAGTGAATAGTCTGCTTAATGTTATTTTCATTCAATGTTTGTCTTTAATTTCCCCTTCCTCAAGTATTTAATTGCCTATTTTACATTTTCATTATGCAACCCAAGTTTAAACAAATGGACTCCACTCGGCATCTCCCCAAGCAATAACAACAAATTACAGTCCAAAAGTTATTTCTTCAAAAAGTCATTTCAGTTCTCTAATAAACTAAGAAGGCTGCGATATTGCATTACAAAATCCAGCCCTCCAAAGTCTTGGAAGATGGAGCCGATGTGCTGGGGGGAGGGGAGCGTGTGTGTGTGGGGGGGGGTGTCTTGGGGAAGATGGAGCTGCTGAGATGTGGCTCGGATGACAAGGATGGGTAAAGGGTGGGCTGGGTGTTGGATGTGGGGGAGGGGGAGTCCAAGGGGAGCTGTTCAGCATCTGCACTAATGCCAGGCACCAACTTTGAGGGGAGAGGGAGCCGAAGTTGACTTCGGGCAGCCTGAAACCTCCCCCCCTACACACCCCACCTTCGATGCCATTTCAAAGCCTAAGAAGACTGGCCCCCCAGGGCTCCCAGCATCCCCAGCACTGAGGGACCCCAGAGAAGCCGAGCCCTGAGCTGTTCCGCCTCCAGAGCCAGGCTTAAGGCAGCTGCCTCCCTGCCAAGCTGCCCATGGGCTGCCCGCCCTCCTTCTCCTCCTCTTCCTCTTCCTCCTCTCTGCCTGACTCCTCCTTGGGGCTCCTCCGCTCCTCTCCATGGCACCCTTGGGGAGGGACCTCCTTAGAATCCCCCACTAACTATGGGGGGCACAGGGCACTGCTTCCAGGACACGTGGCTGAGATGAGACCCATGGGGCCAGTGGGGTGGGCTGGGCCCTGCTGGTGCTGGCAAATAGCAAAGGTCACACATACTTTGGAAGGGAGCTGGCACAAGGCCAAAGTAGCTGGTTATGTGGGATGGGGGCTTGAAGCTTTTTCTGGGGGCCCACTCTAACCTGGTCTATATTTTAGCACTGCTAACACGGGGTTTTCTTGGATACTGGGCTCATCCGTGGTTGGCAGGGTGTCACCCTGGTCCCTGGATTCCCTCTCCCCCCACTTCAGCCAGCCTCCAGCCACAGCCCACAGCAGGCAAAGATAAGGCTCAGGGAGCCACAGTGAGCACAGAGGGAAAGAAGGCCAGGCTCCAGTGGGGGCAATCTTCCAGTGCTACCAACAAGAACCAGGGTATGCAAAATATTCAAATCGATCACCCTGACAGCAGCTGGAGTTCCAGGGCCACTCTGAAACAGAAGCTCCCACCGGTCAGAAGGCCACAAGCCTGGCCCGTGGACAGAGCAAGCCCACTGCATTTCCTCCAGGTCCTCCCCCTCCCATCTTCCTTCCCTATACCCAGAGGGCTGGGGTCATTGCAGGAGGGACAATGCTAAGGAGTGGGCTGGGAAGGCCAGTGGAGACTAACCAAGCCAGTCCTCTGCTAGGCATCCTTAAGAGAGGAAAACTCCCCTCCCCAGCCGTCCTCCTGGTTATGGATTGGAGTGAGGGGGGCAGGCACCAAGGAGGACCCTCTAACCACAGCTGACAAAGAGAAGCCAGAAGGGAATCTGGGCTAGGGGTCAGACAAGAGGGGGGAGGGGGCCTGACTGTCTGAAACCCCCAAGAAGGTTCTTTCTCTCTTCCTACTGGCATTTCTAGGGTGACCAAGGTGAGAGATGGCCAAAATCACACCCCAAAGTAGAGCTGGACTGGCCAGGACAGGACAGCCCCTTCTAACAGGCAAGTTACCAGCTTCCCGGGAGGGGGGTCCCCAACTATGCAATCAGCTATGCAGAGGTTTCATTGAGAATTTTGCCCCCCTCCCAAATTACAGGGTACTGAGTCTGTGACTACCGTAAACCACTGAGTCAAACTTGCAGGTGCCAGCCTTCTTCCCCACCCCGCCAAATGCCTTTGTCCAATGGGGAGAGGACCCTGAAAGGCTCAGGATGTGAACACTCGGACCCTTGGCCCACCCTAGTATTCAAGTTTGATCAATGGGCTAAGTGTGAACACTGACTGGGGATCGATTGCTCAATACCCCACGTGGCCCTGACTACTTCATTCCACGTCCCTCTTACTGTTTGAAGTGGGAACATATTTCACTTGGTATTCACGGGGAAGTGTGGTCTTCAAACTGTCTGGGGACGGATCCCGACCTAGCATTTGAGCAAGGGTCAGAAGGAAAAGACAAACTTGCCCATTAGAAACCTATCAGTGAGAACAGGCAAACTGGTGGAACTGGGCCCAGGAAGATCAATGGAATCAGATACCCTGAGCTGGAACACAGCTAATTGAAAACAATGATTGATTGAACTAATCAATGCTCAAGCCTCTGCTTTGATCATCAAGGATTTCTACATCTCATGTGTGGTGGAGGCTTAAGTTCGAGGTAAGGCCTTCTCTGCCAGCATAGCTAACAGGATAAACCTGAATCACTCAGAATCAGATGATCTGACAACTTCCTTGAAATTGGCTTCGGATGTCTATTTCGTTCAGAAAATAGAGTATAACCAAAAGTCTGCACTGCTCCATAGCTAGAATTAGGAGGGAGCCCCGCAAAGCCACACATTAATAAAAGTCAGGGCCTTGTCACAAACCACGTTCAAACAAACCACAACGAACAAGCCAGAAGCCTAAAATGTGCACTCATTGTTCTAGTGTCTATTGTAATGTGCAGGCATATGATAGGAAAAGCAATGTAAACTCACTGGGATGAAAAAGACAGACTTGGCTTTAATTGAAAAAGACAAACTAAGTGAATGATGAGTATATAAAATCTACCCTATGCCATTTTTATCACCCATAGATGACACTTAATCTCAAATTTATGAGACAACTGAACTGGGTTTTGAATCACTGGAGGCTTTTCTTCGAAGACTATCTCTGTGTTTCTTCTTTAAATACTGGTATCTGTAGAGACTGGCTAGAAATGTTCATACAATGCTCATTGTTTGGTATATTTGGATTCCTTTTAGTAAGAATAAAAGGCCCTTTGAGAAGATGGACTCTGAAAATGATCAGTAACAATTAAGAGGCTCATGGGGATGCAGGTTACCAAATCAATCTGGAACACAGCAGCAACTAAAAACTAGGCCCATGAACGTGCCCCATTCAGCGACAAACCGCCGACAGGGGCCTGGCAACCAGGACGGCCTTGGCTTCTCAAAGCTCTTCTGGCCAGCACAGACACAAGGGAATCTCAGAGGTGCTGGCGGTTGGCTTTCAGGTCACCCCCATGAGCCGAGGGAGGATCTCCTCGGTTCTGACTGCCAGCTGGGCCAGGCCTATCAGTCCTGCTTTGTCAGGAAAATCCAGGTGCTAAAGGAGGTGGCTCCTGGTGACTCAGTAGGTGGCAGTCTTCCCTTTACATACTCAGATGGTGCCCCAGAACAGGGTTATGGGGAACTCAAAAAAAAAAACAAAACAAAACGCTGAAACTAATTTTAGAGAGAAAATGAAACTAATATAGTGACCACGAAATGAGCTTGGGCAGGGCTGCTCTGGGTCGAGGTCACCCTCTGCAGTGGGACAATGATGCCGCTTCACCTGGGCGCTGGGCAGCCTCCTAGAGAGCCTCTTGGCAGGTTCCTTGGGAGTCAAGGCAGGGCTGCCACCGGATGCCAACGCCAAGCCCAACAGCTGCTCACTGGCCACAGCTCCAGCTGACTTTGGCTCAGCTGCCCAGCCCCCATCACCACTGCTTCTACACTGTGCTGAAGCCCATTTCACTGAAAACAGGATCCCGGCGCAACTATTTTCCCTTAATTTTTCAAGCTTAGAGAAAAGAAGTTAATCAAATGGGCAAAATTTCTGCCTAAACAGCTGACCCAATGAAGCTGACCAGATGGATTTCAAGTTGGTGGGTCTTGACTCTCTTTGCCTTCCGGGCCTGGCCTGGTCTGCCTTACACACTTTATCCATTTTAGCCGTGACTGGGCCAGAAGGTGTATGTACTCAGGGCAAGACATAGGGGAAACTCCAGTGGATTTTTGGATATAAGAGAAGGCTGATCGAAATGGTGATTTGGGATTATCCTTGGATTTTAATTATCCTGTCTCTCCATTTATTATGGAGAAAACGGAAGGCTACCTGTTGTTGAAATTTTACTTATCCTAACAGCAAATGCCATAAATCTTTCCTATTCCTCTACCTAAATAATTCATTAACTTTCAGAAGAAAAAAAAAGTAGCTTTAAGACTCTGAGGTTTTATTGACAGATAAAATGAAGGTAAACCAACCAAACCCAAATATGTGCATCTGTAAAGTTCGTCATTTTTTTTAAGCACATCTATGACAGCCTGGCTTCCAAGAACAGAAATCACCTTTAAAAAAAATAGTATATGAAAAAAATGAGCTAAAATCTTTTATTTTTTTAAATTAAAGGAGAGCCAATAGCTTTTGGGATGCAGAAATCGCCAACATTGCCAGCAGTATAAACAACGCACAACATAGGACGATGACAAACATTTTATTTACTAAGACTGCAGGTTCTGAATAGGACCAGAAACGGAAGAGGCAAAAAAGAATTCCAAGATGGAGTGTCTGGTCAACTTTCATTCACTCAGGTATCTCTTGGCCCCAATTCCTCTTAATGAGAGGATTCAAATTAGAATTGTATTTGAATATGAATTCCTTGAAGACAGGCATAGTCTCATTCCCAGTGGAAATAGGGACCAAACACCCTAAGAGTGGTCAATGAAGGTGAGCTGTTAGGGCCCAGCCAGCACCATCATCCCCACCCCCACCCTACCTGATGGATCTGCCTGCAGGTCACATGCAAGGCCCAGCCCTTCACCAGGGCTCCCTCCAAGGCTTGGGAATATTGGCTGGAACTCTGAACTACCAGGGTACCTGGGATCCACTTACATTCCCCACCAGATACATAAAATCAATGCCCACAGCTCCTGCTAACACCAAAGTCCACAAGCAGGAAGATGTTCATACCAGCCAATCACTCCATCTGACAACTTTCTTATTAGGGGAAATATGCCCAAATTGGGACAGGTGGGGGGTCCTGGCTCATGGAGCCCATCCTCTCTCCAAAAACCAAGGGTAGGGGTGTGCTTCCCAAAATGACACTTTCAGATAAATTCTTCCCAAAGTGTAACCAGTGTCTAATAATCTCTTAGATTAATCCCAACATTTTACCAGACTGTTTAAAAAAAAATCTTCTAACTCTTTTATAAAGACAAATGATCATAGGAATGCTGTCGGATTCAAAACAATGAATTAAATCCTAGTGAAGAAAATCCAAACATTTCAAACCTTTTCAGTCTTGCTGATCTTGGGGACACAATGACTTTAAGGCTCTTCCCTATATTTCAGACATCTGGACCACTCGGTCATTACTACAGATGCCTGGCCAATCATTAGGACGGCCCACAGGCCTTCACAAAAAACAACCTAGGTCCTTTTTAGACGAATACATGAGGGGAAAGGGGACAGCAATAGGCATTATTAAGCACCCACTCTGGGTCAGGCACTGCGCTAAGCTCTTTCCAAAGACTATCTCATTTAACCAGTAAAAAGAAAAAAGTCTCCTACTATCCTCCACCCAAGCTGTGGTGTTGCTGACATCAGTGAGGCCCCAGAGACCTGGAGTCTTTGCTAACAGGGGGCAGCATCTCTTCCACCAAACAAGGCCCACCAACCCACAGTTAACATAAACATGAAACAGGGGAATTGTCAAAATGACCTGAGCCAAGAGGCTGCTCCAGGGGCTCCCTGGGGCTTTCCTGCCCCGTGGGGAAGGTCCGGGCTCCTAGTTCAGTGCAAGTACCTGGGCCACTGACCTCTCCCCCTCCCATCTCACAAGAGTGAGGCCCCCACAGAACTCAGGCCAGCAAGAACTTCGAAGGTCTCCGGAACCAGACAGGCCACATGAGCCCCGGTAAGGCGGAGGTAAGCTCCTCTCTGGGGGTCCACTACCAACCCCCCAAATAAACTAGGAAGCTCAAAGGTGATACCTTCTGGGACACATTTCACAACTGTCAGAAGAGAAATCAAGGCCTGATTTAGGAATTGCTGAAATAACAGACCACAAATAGATATGCAATGCCACTACTACACCCCAGGGAGGAGTTAACCTGGAGACAAGAGTGACCAGGTACGGGGGGGCCTCACTTCCCAGCCGGGCACAGTACCCATCAGGCCCTCAGCCTCACTCCTCTTGCAGTGACATGCCAGCCCACTGGCCACACAGCCCAGGCTCTGTCCACCCCACGCATCTCATTTTCTGGGAGGCCTTATTCTGCCAAGCACCAAAATAAAGAAAATAGTCAAATCTCTTTACATCGCTGCACTCTATTTCACTATGAAATTTTAGATTTTATTTTTTTTAAAAGGGCATAAGAGAAACCCTCCCTCCTCATCTTATCACTCCTCCTTCCCTCCTTCCTTCCTCCCTTCCTCTTTTTTCCCTCCCTCCTTCCTTCCCTGTCACCTTCTTCCTTCCCTATCTCCTCCTTCATTCTTTCCTTACCTTTTTTCAGTCCTTCCTCCTTTCTGATCTTATTCTTTCTACTTCCCTCCTTTCTTCCTTCCTCCTTCCCTCCTTCCTCTTCCCTTCTTCCCTCCCTCCTTCCTTCCCTTCCTCCCTACTCCCTCCCTTCCCTCCTTTCTTCCCTCCCTCCTTCCTCCCTTTCCTCCCTTCCCTTTTCCCCTCCTCCCTCTTTTCTCTTTCTCCTTCCTCCTTCCCTCCCTCACCCCACTTCACTCTAGTAACCATACAATTGCCAGGCACATGTTAAATAAAATGAACAAGCAACAATCATTAGTTCCTGGGGGCTTCCAAAATAACTAAACTAAACAGATAAAATGGGCCTCTCCCTTTACAGGACTCAAGTGAGCTGATGTCTGTGGGTAAGGGCGTCCTCCTCCTCAGGGCCAGGCGAGGACCCACCAAGGGACCCCAGAATTTCAGAGGGGAGGGGTCTCCAGGGCCTCTGAACCCAGAGATCCCTGCGAGGGCCTCCAGCAAGCAGTAATGACGCCACACCTTAGAGTTCCTGGGTGAGCATGGACAAGGCCCTTCATCCCCCATGCCTTAGTTTCCCTTCTGGAAAAGGCTAAGGCTGGACCAGGTGGCCCTGGAGGTCCCTTCCAGCCCTAAATCTTGGCATATAAAGGTTCCCGACCTCTGGGCCTCAGTTTCCCCTCCGGTAAAATGAGGGCATTGGGCTAGCAGACCTCTGAGCCCGAGATCTAAGGCTCTGAAGAAGGCACTTTGTGTGTGGCCTCAGTTTCCCCCTCTGTAGAGGGATGGGGGCCCTTGAGCTCTCTTCCAGCCCAGCATCTGGGATCCTATGATGGAGCCACTACACATCCCCGGGCCTCAGTTTCCCCCTCTGTAAAACGAAGGGTTTGGATCATCTGATCTCTGAGCTTCCTTGCAGCCCTAGATCCAGGATTCTCTGATCCTAGCCTCAGTTTCCCTTTTCCCCAGGCACTGGCGGGATCGGGCCACCGGGGGTCCCGGCCCAAGGATCATCTAGGCTTCGCTAAAGGGCTCAGCGCTGGGCGCTCCTAGAAGCAAAGGGTCGTGGCCTTCCCCGGATCTGCCAGCTGCGGACTCCGAGGGCTCCTTCCCCTTTTTCGGTGCTGACAGGTGAGTCCAGGGGCCGGCCGGGCTCCCCGCTCCACGTTCCTCCTCCTCCGGAGGAGGAGCCCGCCCCCGCGCCGTTGCCCCGCACCGGCCCGGCGCCCAGCGCACCGTCCCCACGGCCGAGCGGCCGCGCAGCGGCTCAAAACGGCAGCGCGTGGCCACCGCGGCTCGCCGTCCATCCCCCGCCCCCGCGGTCTCACCTGCCAGCAGGCTCCGCACGTCGTCGGGGACGGCTCCGGGAGAGGACGCGCTGCCGACCTGGAGCATGGTCGGGACTGGACGGACGGACAGACGGACAGAGAGCGTGCCCGCCGGCCTGCCTGCCCGCCTGGCCCGAGCTGCCTCTCAACGAGGAAGTCCTTGACGCCCCGGCTGGCCCGCAGCCGCTGGACTCACAGCCGGCCCGGCCCGGCTCGGCCCCCTCCCGAGCCCCGCCCTCCCGGAAGGGAGGGGAGGGGCCTGGGACAGAGGCGTGGCGCACTGCGCCTGCGCAGCTCCGAGCCCCGCCCTCCCGGGGGGGGTGGGAGACGCCTGGGGCGGAGAAAAAACGCTTGGCGCCTGCGCGGTCCCAGCCGCTGCTGCTGACCACTCCCACTACGCAATGGCGTTCCGGCAGTCCCGCCAAGTCATATGCCGAGGCAGCCTGCGGACTAAGGCCATGAGGCTCTAGTCGCGCCGCAGCGCACATCCTCCCGTCCATCTAGCTCGTGCGGGACTCCCAGGACCTCTCAGACCCAGCCCTCCAGACGTAGCCACATACCCAAAACAAATATGGCGGCCCCGTTCAGGTCGCCGACAAGCACCGAGTTCAGATCTTCCGCCAGTCCTCCCTGAGAAGCCTATCCGTGGGGCGATCTTCGAAGACCACTTCGTGATTGGCTCTTAAGCTGTTTGCCCCCGCCCACTGCCTTGTTTCAGTATTATTTACCCCTACAGAAGGGTGGGGAAAGGGGCGGGCCCAGCCCCCAGTTGAGAAGACTGGCCAATCAGAGCGCAAGAACGGGCCTGACGCCCCTCCCCCTCCTCCGTGGGCCGGGGATGCGAGGCTGGAGCGCTGTGGGCGTGTCCTCCGGCGCCTCTGCAGCCCCGCCCCCAGGTCTGTCAAACGAGGGTCTCGGTAAGACCCCTCTCCATCCTAGTGGGACCCGCGGCTGCCCGAGGCGGGGCTCCTCCCGCCAGGGTCCGAGGGCAGGGCGTTCCAAACCAAACTAGGCTCCAAAGCCCCGGGCAGTGGCCAGAAAGCGGGAGGGAGACATAAGGGCGTTAAGAGGGGTCAGCCGCCCTCTACCTTCAGTTAGCGTTGATTAAGCACCTGTCCTTCGGTCGGGGGCTGGGGGGCTCGGGACGGACATCTCACGGCCCCCATGGACGGCTCGGAGCTCTCCCTATGCCCCCCACGTGCCCCCTCTTCACTGCCGCTCAGTTCACCTCCTCGAGGGCAGGGACTGGGTGGTTTTTGTATTTGTATCTCCCGGCACCTGGCGCGGTGCCCCGGGCATCGTAGGCACTCAGTGTTAATGCTTTTTGACTATTGACCTTCTTACAGGCACAGAGATGAAACAGTTCTTTCCCTCAAGAAGCTTACTTTCCATTAGAAGAAGCAACATGCATACATTGTACCTTCAAAATATAGGCTCCTAAATTTTTAGCTAGAAGGGACCATAGAATAAGTGGAGTCCAAACCCCACCCCCACCCCTTACTTTTCAGATGAGAAGACTAAGGGGCAGCTAGGTGACTGGGTGGAGAGAGCTCAGACCTGGAGTCGGGGAGACGTGAGTTCATATACGGCCTCAGACACTTACCAGCTGTGTGGACCTGGGCTAGTCGTTTAACCATGTTGGCCTCAGTCCCTCATCTGTAAAATGAGCTGGAGAAGGAATTGACAAACCGCTCCAGTCTCTTTGCCGAGAAAACCCCAAATGGGGTCAAGAAGACCTGGCCACGACTGAAAAACAACTGAACAAGAAAAGCCTAGGGCCCAGAGGAAAGTCCTCGTTTAAGATTCTGGTATGTTCACAGATCATAGTAAGTTACTAGCTGATCTTCATAAATTGGTATAACCAAACAAGTCAATACCCAGAGGCTAGCCTCTTGGTGAAGAGCCCCAGCAAATTTAGCTGGGCTGCTCCTTCAAGGACAGACATACACAGTGATGGATCCCTGGGGCCACACCTGAAGCCTTCCCAGCTTGGCAGGACTCATCAATGTTTGGCTTCACTTCGGTGCCTTGGAGCACTGGGTCATCTTCCCTTTGAACTTGAGGCTCAGAAGAGCACCTAGACCATGGTCAGGGTGAAATGTTAATGGATAAATGAAACACCTTGTATGTTTCTCTATGTTTGTATAGGATGCAAAAGTATAGGATGAGGTAGCTGGTGCAACAATTGCTTTTATTGATGGGTTTTGGTCAAGATGAGTCAACGGTGTGGCCTAGCCCTCAGAAAAGTCAACATACAGTTGGGTTACATTAATCCATGTATAGAGTCCAGAGCAAGGGAGATGTCATTATACACTACCCTGGTCAGACTCCTGGAATGTATTATGTCCACTTCTGGACGCTTCATTTTGGGAAGGACATTGAGAGTCTACAGCATGGTCAGAAGACATGACCAAGGTGATGAAGGTATCCAAATCATGCTGTCCTGGCATCAAACATCTGAAGATCTCTTGTGGCAGGGGGCATGGAATCCTTCTATTGGGCCCCAAAAGACAGAGACAATACAGGGAGGCAGGTTTTGTCTCAGTATTTTCAAAGATCCTAACTAGAGTTTCGTGAGGGGGGATGGGCAATCCAGGAAGCAGAGCGTTCCTGAACCCCGAAGATTTTCAGGCAGAGACTAGATGACCACTTACTGAGGCAGCCAGATGGTGCAGGAGAGACTCCAGGGACTGGAATCAGAAAGACGAGTTCAAATCCAGCCTCCACTTAGTAGCTGTGTGACCCTTGGGCTCAGTTTCCTCAACTGTAAAGTGGAGATAATAACATTTACCTCACAGGGTGGTTGGGAAAATCAGCTGAGATAATATTTGTAAAGTACACAGTACCTGGCACAGAATAGGTTCCTTTCTTCCTTGTAGATGCGGGACTCATATTTCTGTTATTTGGATGGAGCTAAATGACATTTGGGGTTCCTTCTATGCCTAGGACTCTCTTCAGACCTGTGCATTCAAGAATAGCTTGGCTACAACCACCTGCAAATGTTCTCTGGGCAAGCCCCATCCTTGGATTTCTCTATTCCTGTTTCAGGGTTGCTCAGTATCATTTGGGAAAATCGCAAAATCTAGCTGGCTGCAGCCACAACAAATTTGTCGCTTGACCTCCAAAGGACCTTTGCTGCTGCTCCACAATCCTTCTCTACCGTTTTCTTGATTGCCTCTCTTCTTCCTCCCAGCCTCTCCTCTCTGAGCCTCATAACTCTGGCCCCACCCCCACACTTAGAACACCTGAACCAACCTCGTTCTCTGAGAAGAATGAGGCTGGGTAGTATTAGCTCATCCTCGTTCTCCATTACTTCTTAACAACATGTTCCTCCCCTAGGCTCATAGGAAAAGAGTTACTGCTTCTCCTCACTGAAGCTGATCTTTCTTCCTGTGTCCTTGAACCCATTCCCTCCTACCTTCTTCAAGACCTAGCTCTGGAAGTCATCTCTCTCATTTATTTGGTTCCTTCCCCTCTGGCTACAAACATGCCATGGTCTCCCTATTCCTCCAGAAGCCTTCCCTTGACCCTCTACGTCCCATCCAGATATTATCAGATCTCCTTCATTATTGAACTTCATTTTTTAAAGTTGACTAGAACTGATGCTTCCACACTTCCTTGCTTCTCAAGTCCCAGATGGTGGGCTTCTGCTCCCTTCCTACACAAAGTACTCTCTCAGAAGTGACTAATGACATTGGGTGGAGTGCACCAAATGATATAATTGCCTGGAGTTCAGCAAATCTGATCCAGAGAGCTTTAAAGTGAAGAAGGAAGGAGAGAGAGAGGGAGAAACACGCCCATTATCTGCCAAAGTGTTCACCAGAGAGGAGCAGGCACAGCACAGGAGAAAATATCCTAGAAGATGGTGGGAGAAAAGACTCATAGGTCTCCAGTGTCCATGCAGAAATGTACAAAGAATGGTAATGAACAGGATAAACTGGAGACCTGAATGCAAACAGGCAAAGTGGCCTTCATAAAATGATTGAGAGTTGACGGAAAGGACTTGGTGACCAGGACAGAGTGCCAATAGAGGAGGTCTGCTTCAACTTCAAGAATTCAATGGCTTCGTGATATCATAAATACTCCCTCCAGTGGTGCTGATGACAGCCCCTCCACAGCTTCTAATACCAGATGGGGGTTAGCTCATTCAAAAGGAATGGAATAGATAAAGGGAACAGGGGAGGGAGTTTCTAAACTTTGTAATGTCTTCATAGGAGGAGATTCAAGAAGAAGCTGGAGAGAGGCTAGTGCAGAGCATTTGAGAAAGATTAATGGAGGAAAAAAGTGGCAGCAGTCATAGAGGGGTCACTGCAGGCTGCCAGTACAAAAGAGGAAACATGTGAATGAAAATAGATCATAAACCTGGGATTCGGGTGTGATATAAAAATGATGGGAGACTACGTTGCCCAGGTTATTTGCTTGTCTCTCTGCCAAAGGCAAAGAAACTTACACAAATTCCTTACTTTTTTTTAAAATAATAATTTAACTCTTTGAGAAGTGAAGGAAGTGACAAGAGAGAACTGTTGTCCTGGATCTAATTCTGACCGAGAAGGAGGAAGTTACAGAACCAGAAATGATGGGAACTTTAGGAGGAAATGACTACGGCATCTTAGAATTTGTGAGAGAGGAAGGGAAAGCCAGACATGATCCGACACATGTTCTATATTTTATTTTCTTTTTTAAATCTAATTTCATTATTTTTGTCATTAACAAGCACTTATTCTCTATCCCTCTCTAACCTCTCCCTCACTGAACAGTTTAAAAAAAAAAAAGAAGAAAAAGAAAACGATCATAACAAATGTGTGCTATTGTTCAATTGTTACAGATGTGTCCAACTCTCCATGGCCCTATTCGAGGTTTTCTTGATAAAGTTACTAGAGTGGTTTGCCGTTTCCTTCTCCAGCTTATTTTACAGATGAAGAAACTGAGGCAAACAGGGTTAAATGACTTGCCATGGGTCCCACAGCTTGCTAAGTGTCTGAGGCCAGATTTGAACTCAGGTCTTTCTGACTCCAGGCCCAGCACTCTATCCAGCGTGCCACCTAGCTTCCCTAACATGCATAGAGAGTTGAAACAAATTTCTGCACTGGCTATGTTTCATTCTGGGTGTCAATTCTATTGGCTCTGTGTCAGGAGATGGAAGGCATGTTTCACC